CAACTGGGCTTATTTTAAAGCTCTTAGAGAGAGCTTCGATATAGGAAATTCTCAGCTTAATCCGATCGACGGTCTGCACGATACGCTGCGCGACGTTCAAGGTACTCTTGCTGTTTTGACTAAGTCCCTCTTGATCCCTCTCTCTACAAACTCGGACCCGAGGATAGGGGCTGGTCTTGTACCAGGCACCCAAGGACCCTTGGAGGTGACCCCGAGGAGAGGTTTTAAGTGTGATAAAGTCTTAATAGCTTGAGTTTATTAGGCCCTTACACCAACAGTACCACGGGTCCCGGAGGTGCTCGTACTGAGGGTACTGGAGCTGCCGGGCCCGGGGGTGCCTCTGGAGCTGGAGCTGCTGCGGGTGCTGGCGCTGAGGCTACGACTGTCGGTCCTACTGCGGGTACTTCTACAACTGCTGGTGGTGCTGGAGTTGGAGCTGCTACTGGTGCTGGTGCTGCCTCTGGAGGAGTTGGTGCTGTCCCTGCTGTCTCTAGCGGTGCTGCGCGGCCTCGGCCGTACTTCGTTCCGCTCCTTCAGCAGGTTCTTGGTCTCCCGCCTTCCACTGGTCCTTCTCCTCCCGTAGAGTGTCCGCAGCCTGTCCCGTCACAGTCACAGTTACAGCCCGCCTCTCCCCTGCCTTCTCCTTCTCCCTACGCTGGTCCTACTGGAGGTCTTGCTGAGCGTCGTGAGCCTACGTCCCGCCCTGCGTCGCCAGTCCGAGCTGCTCGCCCTAGTGGTCGCGGTTCGCGTCTGCGTCCTCCTCCTGTCCCTGGCACACACCAGATGTCTCTGCGTCTGTCCACTGCTCCTCTGCGTGCCCCTTTGCCTTCTCCTCCTCAGTCTTCTCTTCCTACACTTGCCGACCCGGAGTCGGACTCTCGCAGTGCTGCCAGTCCTACTGTCACGCGTCTTCTTGCTTCTCTTGTCACTGACCCTTCCTTTGAGTCCGCTGCTGCGTCTGCCCTAGTTGCTGAGCTGGTCGACTTTGCTGCTGCGTGTCGTCTGGACTACGCTGCCAGTCTTGTTGCTGAGTCTGCTGAGTCTGCTGAGTCTGCGTCTGCTGCGTCTGCGTCTGCCTGTCCTCCGTCCGTCGGGGGTGATTGTGCTCTTGGCACGGACGTCCTTGAGGACAGGCAGGAGGAGTTCCAGTGCTTTGGCGCCGCTTTGCCCCATCTCGTGTCCATGCTTGTTGCCCCTGAGGGAGACCCGGATGCTCTAGACATCCCGACCCCACGCTCTTACGCAGAGGCGATGGCCAGTCCCTACTCCTCTCAGTGGCAGTCAGCCATGGACGCAGAGATGGCTTCCTGGAAGTCCACAGGCACCTACGTTGACGCTGTTCCCCCTCCTGGGGCGAACATTGTCAGTGGCATGTGGATCTTCAGGGTGAAGCGGCCGCCGGGTTCTCCGCCTGTCTTCAAGGCGCGCTACGTGGCTCGTGGCTTCAGTCAGTGACAGGGAGTTGACTTCTTTCAGACCTTCTCCCCGACCCCAAAGATGACCACTCTTCGGGTTCTACTGCACGTCGCTGCTCAGCGTGACTACGAGCTACACTCTTGACTTCAGCACTGCTTTCCTGCAGGGCCGCCTGCACGAGGAGATCTGGCTGCGCCGCCCTCCTGGCTTCACTGGGTCGTTCCCTCCTGGTACCCAGTGGAGCCTCCGGCGGCTAGTCTACGGTCTCCGCCAGGCGCCGCGTGAGTGGCACGACACACTGAGGACTACACTTGCGGCTCTTGGGTTTGCTCCTTCTACTGCTGACCCGTCGCTGTTTCTGCGCACCGACACCTCGCTGCCGCCGTTCTACATCCTCGTGTACGTTGACGACTTGGTCTTTGCCACTGCGGACACTGCCGCACTCGCCCACGTGAAGTCCGAGCTGCAGAAGAGACACACGTGCACAGACCTGGGTGAACTGACAAGCTATCTTGGCTTGCGGATCACCCGGGACAGAGCACGCCGCACCATTACCCTGACTCAGTCACACATGGTGCAGCAGGTCCTTCAGCGCTTCGGCTTCACGTACTCCTCGCCTCAGTCCACTCCTCTGCCTACGGGACACTGGCTCTCAGCTCTGCCTTCGGATGAGTCCGTAGAGTCGAGTGGTCCGTATCCAGAGCTTGTTGGCTGCCTCATGTACCTGATGACTTGCACTCGACCTGACCTCGCATACCCTCTCAGCATCTTAGCACGCTATGTTGCTCCCGGCCGTCACCGGAAGGAGCACATGGATGCAGCTAAGAGGGTGTTGCGCTACTTGTGCAGTACGTCGGGCATGGGACTAGTGCTTGGAGGGCGTGAGCGGCCTGTGCTCACTGGGCACTCAGACGCTTCTTGGGCTGACGACCAGGCGACTCAGAGGTTGTCTCAGGGTTACACCTTCAGTCTTGGCTCTGGCTCTGTCTCTTGGCGCTCTACTCGCTCTTCTTCGGTTCTCAGCTCCAGCTGTGAGGCTGAGATCTACGCCACGGCCATGGCTGCCCAGGAGCTTCGCTGGCTCACCTACCTGCTGACTGACCTTGGAGAGCGGCCTCGTTCTCCTCCAGTGCTGTACGTCGACAACAAGGCAACCATTGCCTTGTGTGAGGAGCACAGACTGGAGCACAGGACGAAGCACATTGCTCTACGCTACTTCCTTGCTCGAGAGCTGGAGCAGCGTGGTCAGCTTCGCCTGCGTTTCGTGGCCACTGAGGCTAACACTGCTGATGTGTTCACCAAGGCACTTCCGCCTCGTGACCATCAGCCCTTTTGCACTCTGCTAGGCCTTGTGCCCACTGGGCCTCACTTGCTTACCTCTTGACCTTGCTTGTACTGCTGCATATATATATCCTTGCTCTTGCTTGTTTAGCACTGTTAAATATATATGCTCTGCTGCATGTGAACTGGCCTTGTGGCCTTGACCTTGTGCTCGGAATTTGTGTGGTATCCTTGAGATCCACCCTGAGCTTGCTTTGCTTTGCTTTGCTTTGCTTGACTGGTCTTGTGACCCCTTGCTCTCCCCCACTTTGCCTATGGGGGTGTGTCTGATGATTATATTACTGATGCATATATTTAGGCTGTAGTGGGGTAGCCCATAGGGGGTACAACCCAATTAGGGTTAGCACTTGTACTTGTTTCATTTTCATAGTGCACTCATTCCTCTATCTCAACATTGTACTCGCTATAGAGCACCCCACTACAGGCTAGAGCCTAAGATAACATTCTGACACGGCTACCTCTACCGCCTCGAACCTATCGGACCTATCTCTTGGCAATCGAGCAAGCAGGAATTAATTGCTCTCTCGTCAGCTGAAGTAGAATATATTGCACTCTGCTCAGCCACCAAGGAAGGACTCTATCTTCGCGAGCTGCTGGAAGAAGCGAAGTTAGCCGAGTTACCCAACTTTACCCTGTTCTGCGACAACCAGTCGGCAATTCGCATCGCCAATAAGAACGGCTTCGCGAACAGGACGAAACACATCGCCCTGCGATATTTCTTCGTGAAGGATGAGATCGAGAAGGGAAGGCTCGAGTTGTCATACTGTCCCACGTCCGAGATGGCAGCTGACTACCTGACCAAGAAGCTCGGAAAGCAGAAGTTCGAATACTGCATGCTGCTGAATGGACAGAGCCACGTCAGCGACACTCTAGAAGCGAAGGGGAGTGTTGGAAACAATCGGTCCTAAGAGCCTCTGTCGTGTCGAAACACCAAGACACAAGCGAAGCAAAACACTATCGAAGCACCAGCGAGTCAACCCTCGGAGGTTGAAGTAACTGTCGGAGGTTACGCGAAAGTCAAAGGTCAGCAACCTTTGACCTGACAAATACAGCGCGACAGCAAGGACACACAACTAACTCCTTACAGAGCAGTTGCCCGAGTCGTCACTGTATCGAACCGCAACAGCAACAGTAAAGTAGTTATAACTGTGTCTTTTCATATTCCCTGTATTTATATATAATCTTGTATCTCTTTGCTTGTATCTCTTTGCTTTAATCAACTTACTTTGCACTCATATACTAGCGCAAGGTGGTTCACAACCCTTTAATTAACGCTTCCGCTAGTACACCAACTCTACCCAGAGTTCACCCCTGCAAAGATCCTAAGGACTTTTCAGCCCAACAGCAATAAAGTTACGAGCCATCAGATTCGCCACCCCCATGGATCTCAAAGGATCGAATTCTTCGCCTGCTGGAAGGACCACACCCCTACGGAAAACAGCTGGATGCCTTTGGGCACCGTTGAGAACAACCCTGTCCTCCAAGTGTACCTGCAAAGCCGGGAGTTCTGCAATGTACACGCACTCGTGTATCGGAGGGGCTTCTTGGGGAGGGGGGTAGCGTAAGAAAACTTTCAGCATACCTAACCTCATCATTGCGTACAGGACCAACCGTTTATCGCCCGTTACTGCTAGCGGTGCTTTGCTGCCATCGCGCCTCACATTTCCCAAATCATGCATCGACGACCTGGCTTGAGTCGGCCTATGCTTCGGGACTAGCTCGAACCTCGCTGCCAGCATCGCAATAGCTAGCTCGCACGCGAAGCGTAACCGTTTGCTTATTTTGACTATAAATGTTCGCTCACTTTTTTCGCTCACAATTGTACTCGTTTGCCAACTTAGTGCAATCATCGCTACCTCGATACATTGCAACCGTTCCAGCTTCACAAGCCAATGTAATGTATATGCTCAGAATCATATAAGGTGTTTTTTGTCAGGTTTGTTAGCCTATTGTATAAGATCAGAAGGGCAGATTAGTCTATAGCGAGGAAATACTTGGTGAAAGATGTGAAGGCCTTCAACTAATAAAGCTAGTCCTGGTCATCATGTGAATCGCCTTTCCCGTACAAGGTAATAAAAGATTTATCCTGCTCTATGCGATGGGACTATATGGTGCTCGCGGGGTTTTGCAAGACTCTTTGGGCTCTGACGCCTAGAGCGCGTTTGCTGACGTCAGCACGCCCGCGGTAGGGGCTTGGTGCAAACGCGCGATCCCTGGCGCCACTCCCTCCAAGGGCAGACGCTATGCCGCCTCACTCGCTGGCACCTCATTCTCTCACGTTCCGCACTCCCCCTACTTCGCACGCCCTACTTCGCGTCTACTCCCCGCCGTCGACTCTCTCCTCCCATCCGCCATCGCCTCAACGTCCTCTTTCCCCACGCCGTCGCTTCTCCTCTTTCCCCACGCCGTCGCCTCTCCTCTTTCCCCACGCCGTCGCTTTTCCTCTTTCCCCACACCGTCGCCTCTCCTCTTTCCCCCACGCCGTCGCTTCTCCTCTTTCCCCACGCCGTCGCCTCTCCTCTTTCCCCCACGCCGTCGCTTCTCCTCTTTCCCCACGCCGTCGCCTCTCCTCTTTCCCCACGCCGTCGCCTCTCCTCTTTCCCCACGCCGTCGCCTCTCCTCTTTCCCCCACGCCGTCGCCTCTCCTCTTTCCCCACGCCGTCGCCTCTCCTCTTTCCCCCACGCCGTCGCCTCTCCTCTTTCCCCCACACCGTCGCTTCTCCTCTTTCCCCACGCCGTCGCCTCTCCTCTTTCCCCACGCCGTCGCCTCTCCTCTTTCCCCCACGCCGTCGCCTCTCCTCTTTCCCCCACGCCGTCGCCTCTCCTCTTTCCCCCACGCCGTCGCCTCTCCTCTTTCCCCACGCCGTCGCCTCTTCTTCCTCTCTTGCCGTCGCCTCTCCCCACTCGAGCAAATGCCTTCGTTCCCCCGCGTTGATCATCCCCCCCATGACGTTGCCCGGTCCCCTCCCCTTCCCAGAGGACGGGGGATAACCTCCCCCCAACCCTACCCTTCCCCACCCCCTCTTTCCCCCCCTCCTCCCCACCCAGTTCATTTTTCGCTCTGATTCGCCCGTTGTGCTTTCCCATCCCTTGTTCACCCTGCAACTCACCCAAGCGACACGGCATATCCCCATCGAGCAAGCCTCGTCTCCATCCATCATCTTCTTCACCTCGCTCTCCGAGGTGGGTGGCTGAGAGCGTGAGTGTGTGCAGGAGAACACGGGAGGGAGGGACTGTGAGCGTGCGAGAGAGTTAGGGTGTGAGAGCGAGGGTGCGAGTTGGTGCGTCAGAGCGTGAGAGGTTGTGAGAGGGAAGGAGTACAAGGAAAGCGTGTAAGTCAGAGAGTGAGTGGGAATATGTGAGAGTGAGGGGAATGTGAGATTGATAGTGTGTATGACATTCCGAATACGAGTGAGACAGATACGGGGTCGCTCATTTTGGCACCGGTTCTAATGTTTGAGTGCGAGTGTTTGAAGGCCAGCACACCTGGTTCAAGTCATGCTCATACACGCCTTCGTTCACCTTGTAACGAATAGCGATCAGTTGAAACAGTTTGAGCATGGGTAGCCAATATTCTTATCCCACATTTGTACCACTTTACCCTGCCGCCCTATCCCTTTCTACCAGGCTATATCAACCTGCAGGTTCCTTTACAGCAGCACTCTTCTTCTCACCATCGTCCACCCCTCCCATCACTGTATCCCTCCTTGCGGTGCCATGGAGGGAGGCGCAGCAGCAGCAGCAGCAGCGCCGGCGAGCAGCACGGCCTTTTCCCTGCCACGCTTCTACGACTACCCTCCCTACTTCACGTGCGTCACCGCGCCGCACCTTGCTGCACCTCTCACTCCTGCCCAGCCCCACGTTGCTGCTCACTCCATTTCCACATCATTCCATCCGTTTGATTGCTTCAACTGGTTTCATATCCGCACTGCATTCATCCGCTTCTGCGTGCCTTTCCCTCCCTCCCTCCCTCCCTCCCTCATACCCCCAACCCCCCCCCCCCCCACCCCCCCGCCCCCCCACCACAAAACAATCATCACGGCCGACCAACCCACTGGGCGGCACTGGCGGGGGGTGGCAGGCTGCAGCCGATCAAGGCGACGCGAGAGCGGCAGGTGCGGCTGTGGGCGGAGCTGATCGTGGCGTGGTGCCGCCACCACCGCACGCTGCTCGTGCCCCTCGACCACTTCCCCCTCTTCCACCACCCCGCCATCCAGCGTGAGGGCTTGGAGGGGCGGGGAGGGAAGATGGGTTGGGCAGGCGGGTCACAACGCACGTGTGCTGGTGAATGTTGAGAGGGAGAAGCAGAGGGACGAGGCCGGAGGAGGGTTGGGAGGGGGGGGACGGAGGCAAGGGGTGAATGGGGGAAATGGGTGTCGAGGTGGAGGTGACATGGGGCTTGGGGATGGTTCTTTGCTTGTGTATGAGAATGGGGGCATGGGTAGAACCTTCACCCTTAGATATCTCGCTACTATTGCACCCCCCCCCCACTTCTCTCTTACGCACTCTTAAAAAGGTTGCCGTATCGATTACAAGGTGTGTTATAACGCAAGGGGTGGGTGGGTGTTGACAGGCGTAGAGTGGAGGGGGCATGGCGCGTCTAGTTGGGGAAGCGTGGGGAGGTTGGAAATCCAAGCTGATGGGGGAAGGGAATATTCGGGTTGAGAGCTCCCTGCTCTTGACCTCCCAGCACTCAGCTTTGATGCGTTTGTTTCTCACCTGTTCCTCGCCCCTGACTCAGCTCGATGCACATCTGTTTTCTCTCGATTCATGTCCCAATTTCCTGTTTCACCCTGTGTGTGCGTGAATCAATTACGGCAGGCAAACTGACGTTCGAAGCACGGCAGGTCTTTCTCGAGGCTCTCGTGGCAGAAGGTAAGCTCACTCCCAATCTCTTGCACAAGGCTCACATGGCCGCAACGTTGCTGTGCTCTCTACGCCCATCTTTCTAGGCGCATACATTATTCCTTCCGCTCCCATTCCTTCTCAACAGCATCGCCGTCATTCTTTCTCCACTCAATGCATCGCCTCCGATGGCCATCATCCAGTCGTTTTCCCACTCGTTCAAGGATTAAGGCGCTTTGTTCCCATAAGCTTCGTTCCTCCACTCATTTCCCATGAAGCGAAACTGTGCATTTCCTCCTGTGCGCGGCCTCCCCCCGTGTGCCAGGGCGGGCAGAGTGGACGGATCGCAGTCGAACGCGGTGCCTCATCCTGTGGAAGTCCATCAACGACTGGGCCGACACGCTGCTGCAATTCGTACGCCCTCCTCCCCCTCCCCCCTCTCATGTGGTCCGTGCATCAAATGGTACAGCTGGTGATGTCAACAAAGGCGGTGTAATTTGATAAACTTAAACTCAAAATTCAAAGGCCTGTTGCAGTGATGAACGTGAAGTTATACAAGGTGGGTGGCGAAGCGGGGTCTTAATTAATTCAAGATAGTGGCCAAGGTCTCTTGTTTTGCGACATTGCATCCCGAGCTGCCCCGGCTCGTCCGCGGTCCTCCTCAGCCTGGCTCCAACCCGTGCTCATACTTGCAATCTCCAAAAGAATTCGCCAGCAGAGGAAAGAGCTGGGCGGGGCAGGGACGGAATTGAGGCGTGCAAATGCTCCCTCGGCACCGGCGTGGAGGAGGAAGCTCGCAGGAAAGGTAGCCCGGTCCGCACCAGTGTTAGGAGAGGAGCCGTGGTGGTACACTGTGGGCGTGGGGTGGCACTCGACATTCAGCCCAGTACGTGGGGTTGGCGGACTGCACAGCTGGAGTCACTTCCAGCAGGCGATGCAGTGGTTGGGATGGGCGGGGCGGATGTCCAGGATTGACAGCAACAGAATGGCAGCAGTGGGTGACGCCAGCCTTTAGTAGAACACGCTAAACTGACTGGGCTCCTGCGAGGCCGAGTGGGATGACTATGAGTCGACTCAAAAGGACGCTTTGAGTGCATGGGTTTAAGCGGATAGTGGTCTAAGTTTGAATTCTGAAGCTATTGCAGGTGCATGGGTTTAAGCGGATCAACAACCTTGGGCTAGGTGCGATCAACAACCTTGGGCTAGTTGCGATCAACAACCTTGGGCTGCACTAAGCCTCGAATCGAGTCCACCAGAAGAGTGCAGTGAGAGTCGTATAACAAGCCTTGTGTGCGAGATTGCAGCTGTTTAAAGAGAAGCTATAAAACTGGTGACAGGCCAGGCAGGTTGCTAGCTAGATGAGTGTGAAGTCATGATTGGGTTGAGACTTGAGTGTGTGGAAGTTTATGCGCAGGGTACACAGGTTAAAGCTCTGGGCATGTGAAAAGCGTGGATGTTCTATGGTCAAAGAATGGTGTCGAGAGTAACATTTTTATCTGAAAGAAGATGCACGCCCGTCATGACTATGTTGCGAGCAGCAGAGGCGAGGGCAGGGCTGGAGTGGCGGATGGGGCAGCTGGGAGCCCAGGGGATGGGGGAAGCGGGGGTGGGGAGTGTTTTGTGGGTAAGCTATCGGGTCGAAGAAGCTGGTGGAAGAAGCTGGTGGACACAATAACGAGGTGCCGGGGTGGTGGGGGGGGGATCCAGGCTTGGTGCCGGTGGCGCGCGCGTAGGGCGTGATGCTTCCAAGCTTATAGCGGAACAGCAGCAAACCTGGGGGCGCTGAGGTTGGGCCCATCGCATGGAGAGTTGAGCCCAAAGCAGCCCTGAAGGGCGAGGTACACAGTCCAGGCACTATGTACTGTTTCGTGGGCGTCTGCTTCATTATTGCCCGTGCGCTTCGTCCCCCCTTGTCTTCCTATCGTGGCCCATAGGTGCGCGAGAACGGATTTGGGGATTCTGTTTTGACACTCGAGGAAATACGAGCAGGGGATGACACGAAAGGGACAGGTACGCATGCAAGTGTGCTCTCCCCCATCGATCTGGCCTTCTCGTCGCCTGCGGCATGTGTCCAGCTGGAGTGGTTATCGAGAGCACCGAGGGCGAAGGCAAGACGTGTGTGCAATGCGCGCTGCTCTGGTTCCAGATGTTTCTCCTCGTGGCTATGCTTACCCATTGTTGCGTCTGTGTGTGTTGAGAGGAGGGTTAAGGCATGCTGTTCAGTAAAAATGTGTGCGGATGTGTCCATGTGTGAGGTGCGCGTGTGTGCATGTGCGCATATGTGCATTTGTGAATGTGTGGGTATGTGCGAGCCTGTGTGTGTGTGTGTGTGTGTGTGTGTGTGTGTGTGTGTGTGTGTGTGTGTGTGTCTGTGTGTGTGTCTGTGTGTCTGTCTTCCTGCATGTGCATGTGTGCATGTGTGCGTGCGCGCATGTGAGCGTGAGTCTGTGTGTGCACGTATGCGTGTGTGCATGTGTGCGCATTTTCATCTGTGCGTGTATGCATGGGAGAGTGAGTCCATGTGTGGATGTGTGCATGTGTACGTCTGTATTTTTGTGTGTTTTTGTGTGTGTGCATGTGTGTGTGTACATGTGTGTGTGTGCATGTGTGTGTACATGTGTGTGTGCTTGTGTGTGTCTGTGCCTGTGTGTGTGTGTGCATGTGTTTGTGTGTGTGTGTTTGTGTGTGTGTACTTGTGTGTGCATGTGTGTGTGCATGTGTGCATGTATGTGTGCATGTGTGCATGTGTGTGTGTACATGTGTGTGTGTGTGCATGTGTGTGTACATGTGTGTGTGCTTGTGTGTGTGTGTGTGTGCCTGTGTGTGTGTGTGTTTGTGTGTGTGTGCATGTGTGTGCATGTGTGCATGTGTGTGTGCATGTGTGCATGTGTGTGTGCATGTGTGGATGTGTGTGTGCATGTGTGCATGGGTGTGTGCATGTGTGTGTGCATGTGTGCATGTGTGTGTGCATGTGTGCATGTGTGTGCATGTATGCATGTGTGTGTGCATGTGTGTGTGCATGTGTGGATGTGTGTGTGCATGTGTGCATGGGTGTGTGCATGTGTGTGTGCATGTGTGCATGTGTGTGTGCATGTGTGCATGTGTGTGCATGTATGCATGTGTGTGTGCATGTGTGTGTGCATCTGTGCTTGTGTGTGTGCATGTGTGCATGTGTGTGCAGGTGTGCATGTGTGTGTGCATCTGTGCATGTGTGTGTGCATGTGTGCATGTGTGTGTGCATGTGTGCATGTATGTGTGCATGTGTGCATGTGTGTGTGTACATGTGTGTGTGTGCATGTGTGTGTACATGTGTGTGTGCTTGTGTGTGTGTATGTGTGTGCCTGTGTGTGTGTTTGTGTGTGTGTGCATGTGTGTGCATGTGTGCATGTGTGTGTGCATATGTTTGTGCATGTGTGCATGTGTGTGTGCGTGTGTGCATGTGTGTGTGCATGTGTGCATGTGTGTGTGCATGTGTGTGTGCATGTGTGTGTGCATGTGTGTGTGCATGTGTGCATGTGTGTGTGCATGTGTGCATGTGTGTGTGTGTGCATGTGTGTGTGCATGTGTGCATGTGTGCATGTGTGTGTGCATGTGTGCATGTGTGTGTGCATGTGTGCATGTGTGTGTGTGCATGTGTGCATGTGTGTGTGTGCATGTGTGCATGTGTGTGTGTGCATGTGTGCATGTGTGTGTGTGCATGTGTGCATATGTCTGTGTGCATGTGTGCATGTGTGTGTGCATGTGTGCATGTGTGTGTGCATGTGTGCATGTGTGTGTGCATATGTGCATGTGTGTGCGCATGTGTGGATGTGTGTGTGCATGTGTGCATGGGTGTGTGCATGTGTGTGTGCATGTGTGCATGTGTGTGTGTGCATGTGTGCATGTGTGTGCATGTGTGCATGTGTGTGGGCATGTGTGTGTGCATGTGTGCATGTGTGTGTGTGCATGTGTGCATGTGTGTGTGCATGTGTGCATGTGTGTGTGCATGTGTGCATGTGTGCATGTGTGTGTGCATGTGTGCATGTGTGTGTGCATGTGTGCTGAGCACCAGATCTGGAGGGCATTGATGAGGATGTGTTGCGGAGAGCCATCAGAGTGCTTGAGGGGAGGGGCCTCGCCATGCTCTTCAAGGGCTCCTCCTCCGACGATGAGGGGGTCAAGTTCTTTGCCTAGCTGCTGCCACTGACAGGCAAGACGGATTGGAGGAGCTTGTTTGGGAGAGGAGGGAGGGATTGGGGGAGTTTGAGGCTGCAAGAGGCGAGGAAAGGGAGTTCATCGCACTCTGCTGAAGCTTCTATTAAATCCTTGAAGACAATTCTTAAAGCCAGCAGCTAAAATAGTGACCCCCCCCCTTCTAGTTGGATCCACTAGAAAGCTCATGAAAATTTCCAGAAAGTTTGGTGTTTTTTTTCCTAACAGGGCAAGTCCCCAAGTAGTAACAAGACCGACTTGAAGTTGTTTCCGACTTCTGATACGATCAGTCGCAACAAGCACAAAATTGTCGCAAGCTTGCTATGACATTTCCACTTCTCCCACCCATCCAAATCCGCATCGAGCACAACACATCACAAATTTCACAACGGAACCTGCCACCACACACGCAGCATAGACACAATGTTGAGCTAACGAACAGCACAGAGTGATGCAAGTAGCAAGCAGAAGAACGACAAGGTGACTCGAGAGGAGAGAGAGGGGTCGACGAGAATTAGAACGGTAAGGGATGGGGTATAGCGAGAGCGATTGACCGTACAATGGGAGATCGCGGGCGACGGAAAATGGAGTAGATCACGTAGGCGACTGCAAAAGGGGGATCGCTACGAGATCGCGTGGGAGATAGCGAGCGCGACGGGGAGAGGGGGGGGAAACAGCGAGCGCGACGGGGTGAGGGGGGCAGATAACGACGGCGCGGAACGTGATGGGAGATAGCGACGGCGCGAGACGTGATCGGAGGGGAGGCCATGAGCGCGAAGGCGATGCGAAGACAGGTGCACGTGAGCGCGATGGTGACGGGAGGGAGGAACGTGAGCGCGATGCCGATGGGAGGGGAGGACGTGAGTGATAGGAGATGAAGTGGGGTAGGAGGAAGGCGACGGGAGGGAGAGCGCGAAGGCGATGGGAGGGGGAGCGGACAGGCGACGGGATAGAGAGCGGACATGCGACGGGAGGGAGAGCGCGAAGGCGAAGGGAGGGAGGGCGGACAGGCGACGGGGGGGGGGGGAGCGCGAAGGCGACGGGAGGGAGAGCGCGAAGGCGATGGGAGGGAGAGCGCGAGGCCGACGGGAGGGAGAGCGCGAAGGCGAGGGGAGGGGGAGCGGACAGGCGACGGAAGGGAGAGCGCGAAGTCGAAGGGAGGAACGGCGGACAGGCGACGGGAGGGAGAGCGCGAAGGCGACAGGAGGGAGAGCGGACAGGCGACAGGAGGGGGAAGGGATATCGCGAGGGCGACGAAAGGAAAAGGGGGACATCGAAGGTAACGTGAGGGAAGGCAGATAGTGAGGGCGACGGGAAGGAAGAGGGGACATCGAAGGCGAGGGGCGGGAGAACGGGAAGGCGACGGGATCGGAGGGAAATCGCGAGGGCGAGGGGACAAGAGGGGTGAACGGGAAAATAACGGACCGGGAGGGGAGACCGTGACGACGACGGGAGGGCCGTCACGCGTGTGTTTGCGAGGGCGACGGAAAGGCGACGGGACGGACTAGAGAACGAGGCGACGGCGGACCCCACTAGCAATGGCGAGTACGACGAGCAACGAGGGGAGATAAACGAGGCGACAGGCAGCGAACCTAAAGTTCACACTCTTGCTAAGTCGACAATTGACGCACTCGTCGGTAATTACATGGCTATGACACAAACGCCTGTGCTTTCAGCTATACTACTTACTATGCTATACGGAAACTAGTGATGAATGGAGTGACAGAAATCTAGTAATGCACCCCCCACCAGCTTGAAAATGAGGTTGGGCCTGCGATGGGAAACCATCGCCTGGGGTTTGTCGTGCGGATGCGGCACGCAAAAATGCGACGGCTGAAATGAGAAAGAAAGTCCATTTTGGCGGGAACCACTACGTTCAATTGTGGCGAGGGCCAATAACATGAGTTCACTCTGCCCATACAAATCGTTTGAAACAGTGTCTTTGAGACTGGTTTCATCCTCACTTGCAACTCCACATTCAAGTTGGGACGGGGGTCACTACTATAGCTGCTGGCTTTAACTTTAAATTGCTTAAATACCGTAATCTCCCATATATAAGACCCCCCGCAACTTAAAACCACGGGGTATGTTGTACGGGAATGGGTCTTTATTTGCGGTAGGTGTTCACTGTATCACACCCACCCCCCCCTCGTAGAGAGGTATGCATTAAAAGATCCCCCTCAAAGCTGTACATCACTCTTTTAAGGTAGATTTAGTACGGTTTCACTTGTTTTCATAGCATGACTAGTGTGTGAACACATATTTTAGTTCATAAACCCACACATGGTTGATAATTCAAGTATTCAGTAGCTAGCAAGGAGGGGAATGGAAACACATCCTACCAGTACTTCAGGTTTTCAACCCCCATCCCTTGACTCATCCTGACCTGCCACCAACACCTCCGTTTCCTCCCCATCATAGTCTCAAGAGTAATGCATAGCGGAATGTGATTGTCAAGGACTAAACTAGGAATCAATGTCGATTAGGTAAGAGAGAGGGTACAAGACTATCGAGAGAAAAGGGTTGTCCTCTCTAAGGAATAACCCCTACACAACCTAGAGTGAAACAAACAGAAATATGTTTTGACACACCCCCATAGGTGAAGTAGGGGATAGCCAAACCTAGCAGTGGTCACAAGACCAGTCAAGCAAGAGAACAAGCAAGGCAAAGTCCAGGGTGGATCTCAAGGACACCACACAATCTGAGCACAAGCAGGCGGCCACAAGGCCAGTTCACGTGCAGATGTATAATAGCAAGGCAGTCCACTGAGCACAACCTAGCAAGAGTAAACATGCAGGTATAAAGATATATAGCAGTGTACAACAATAGCAAGTCAAGCAACCAGCAAGTGAGGCAGAGTGGGCACAAACCCAAGAGCAGTGCAGAAACGCTAATGATCACCAGACCCAAAAGCCTTGGTGAAGACATCAGCAGTGTTGGCCCGAGAGGCCACGTAAGTAAGGCGCAGCTGACCACACTGCTGCAACTCACGTGCAAGGAAGTAGCGAAGAGCAATGTGTTTCGTTGTGTGCTCCAGTCTCTGCTCGCGACACAAGGCAAGCATTGCCTTGTTGTCAACGTATAGAAATGGAGGAGAACGAGGCCACTCCCCCAAGTCGGTCAGCAGGTAGGTCAGCCAGCGTAGCTCCTGTCAAAAAGTAGGAATCAAGAATGATTAGAATGACAGCAGTACAGGGTTTGTATATGCAAAACCTAATTGGGCTGTACCCCATAAGAAGTGCCCCGTTACAGCCTACAGCATATAATTGCATAGTTCTGACACACCCCCATAGGCAAAGTGGGGGACAAGCAAGAGAACAAGGCAAGGTCAAGCTTAGGGTGGATCACAACGTCACCATACAATCCGAGCACAAGTAAATGGCAACAAGGCCAGTTCACATGCAGAGTTATATATAAAGAGGAACAAGCAGTACAGTGATCGCAACCTAGCAAGTGTATAAGTTTATATATCACAGTACAAGCTAAGTCAAGAAGTGAGCAAGTGAGGCCAAGTAGGCACAAGACCTAGAACAGTACAGAAACGCTGATGATCACAAGGCTGAAGTGCCTTGGTGAAGATCTCAGCAGTGTTGGCCTGAGAGGCCACGTAAACAAGATGAAGCTGACCACGCTGCTGCAACTCTCGAGCAAGGAAGTAGCGCAGAGCGATGTGCTTCGTTCTGTGCTCCAGTCTGTGCTCCTGACACAAGGCAATCATGGCCTTGTTGTCGACGTATAGAACTGGAGGAGAATGAGGCGCCTCTCCCAAGTCAGTAAGCAGGTAGGTGAGCCAGCGTAACTCCTGTGCAGCTACGGTCCCTGCGTAGATCTCAGCCTCACAGCTGGAGCTGAGAACAGAAGACGAGCGGGTAGACCGCCACGAAACAGAACCGGAACCAAGGCTGAAGGTGTAACCCTGTGACGACCGCTGCGTAGCCAAGTCGTAAACCCAAGAAGCGTCTACGTGACTAGTGAGGACAAGTCGACTCCGTCCTCCAAGCACGAGCCCCATGCCTGACGCACGCGCATCACCCTCTTAGCGGACTTCCAGTGCTCTGGTCGGTGTCTCCCGGACGCAATGTAGCGTGCCAAAAGATCACAAGCTTAACGTAGCGTATCGTGACTCCAGGTCGTGTGCAGGTCATCAGGTACATGAGGCATCCCACAAGCTCTGGATACGGGCCACTCGGCTCTACGGACTAATCCGAAGGCAGAGCTCAGAGCGAGTAACCGGTAGGTAGAGGAGTGGACTGTGGCGAGGAGTACTCGAAGTCGAAGTGTTGAAGGACCTGCTGCACCATGTGTGACTGAGTCAAGGTAATGGTGCACCGTGCTCTGTCCCGGGTGATTTGCAAGCCAAGACAGCTGCGGAGCTCACCCAGGTCTGTGCACGTGTGTCTCTTCTGCAGCTCCGACTTCACGTGGGCCAGTTCAGCAGTCTCAGCAGTGGCAAAGACCAAGTCGTCGACGTGCACGAGGATGTAGAACGGCGGCAGCGAAGTGTCGGTGCGTAGAAACAACGACGGGTCAGTGTGTCGTGCCACTCGCGAGGCACATGGCGGAGACCGTAGACTGGCCGCCGGAGGCTCCACTGGGTATCTGCAGGAAACGACCCAGTGAAGCCAGGTGGGCGGCGCAGCCAGATCTCCTCGTGCAGGCTGCCCTGTAGGAAAGCAGTGCTGAAGTTGAGAGAGTGAAGCTCGTTGTCACGCTGAGCGGCGACGTGCAGCATAACCCAAAGAGTGGTGATCTTTGGGGTCGGGAAGAAGGTCTGGAAAAAGTCAACTCCCTGTTGCTGACTGAAGCCTCGTGCAACGTAACGCGCCCTGAAGACAGGCGGAGAACCCGGCGGCCGCTTCACCCTGAAAATCCACATGCCACTGACGATGTTCGCCCCAAGAGGGGGAACCTCGACGACGTAAGTGCCTGTGGACTTATAGGATGCCATCTCTGCGTCCATGGCTGACTGCCACTGGGAGTAGGGACCCTCTATTGCCTCTGCGTAAGAGCGCGGGGTCAGGATGTCTGGTGCATCCGGGTCTCCCTCAGGTGCAATCAGAATGGACACGAGATGAGGTACAGCAGCTGCAAAGCACTCAAAGTCCTCCTTCCTGTTCTCAAGGACGTCCGTGCCAAGTGCACACTCACCCCCGACGGACGGAGGACAGACAGACTCAGGCTCAGCAACAAGACTAGCGGCGTAGTCTAGACGACAGGCGGCAGCAAAGTCGACAAGCTCAGCAACAAGAGTAGACGCAGCAGTAGACGCAAACGTAGGGTCAGTGACAAGAGTAGCTAGCAGACGCGTGACAGTAGGGCTGGCAGCACGAAGTGAGTCAGACTCCGAGGCCGGATCGTCAGCAAGAGAGGACGCAGGAGGAGACGGCAAAGGGACACGCAGTGGAACAGAGGAAGGACGAAGTTCCATTAGGTGCGTGTCGGGGACAGGAGGAGGACGCGGACACGGAACATGACCAGAGCGAGCAGCGCGAAAAGGCGACGCAGGACGAGACGCAGGCTCACGACGCTCCGCAAGACCTCCGGTCGGCCCAGTGTAAGGAGAAGGACCAAGCAGTGGGGAGGCTGGCTGGAACTGCGACTGCGATTGGTCAGGCGACGGACACAGTAAGGGAGGAGTAGGACCAGTAGAAGGCGGGAGACCAAGAACCTGCTGAAGGAGTGGAACGAAGGACGGCCGTGGCCGCGCAGAGCCTCTAGAACCAGCAGATACAGCACCAGTACCCCCAGCTCCAGGGTCTCCAGCTCCAACTCCTGCAGTACCACCAGCTCCAGCACCTCCAGCAGCTCCAGCTCCAGTAGCACCCCCAGCAGTAACAGCTCCAGCGCCTCCAGCTCCAACTCCTGCAGCACCACCAGCCCCAGCAGCTCCAGTACCTCCAGTACGAGCACCTCTGGGACCAGCGCCTCTAGCACCTCCAGCAGCTACAACACCAGCAGTACCTCCAGTGCCAGCAGCACCTCCAGCGGTAGGCCCCCCAGCTCCAGCAGCACGACTTCAGCGCCAAGCAAACCACTCGTGCAGCTGCGGTGGAGAGAGTGGCTCGCGCCGTGACAAGACACCCGTAGGACCTCCGTAGGACAAAGTACCTCCAGGCTCAGCACGCTCAGGCTCAGCACCCCCAGGCTCCGCACGCTCAGGCTCAGCACCCCCAGCCCCCACACCCTCAGACTCAGCAATACAAGGCTCAGCACCCCCAGGCTCCGCACCCGCAGAATCAGCAACCCCAGGCTCAGCACCCACAGGCTCCGCACGCGCAGGCTCAGCACCCCCAGGCCCCGCACCTGCAGGCTCAGCACCCATAGTAGTACCTAAGTCGACAGCTACCTCGACAGGCTCGACAGGGTCTACATGGGACACACCTGAGGGGGCAGGACCCTGAGGGGGGAGGGGGTCTACCGGAGGAGGACCTGGTGCGAGGAAGAGCGGCGGGGGGGGGGGGAGAGGGGCAGTGCGGTAGGGGAAGAGACGGTAGTAAGGAACCGACTCGTCAAACGTGACATCCTGAGAGGACAGAACACGACGCGAGGTGGGGTGGTAAAACTGCCAACCAGGCGCGTAAGGGGGGATGCCAAGGAAGACGTATGGAACAGCACGGGAGGACAGCTTGTCCGCGGAAGAATCGCGGACAAAAGCTCGAGACGGAACGCAGACACGGAACGCAGACGCATCGCCAACCTTCCCCGTCCACCGCAAAGCAGGTGTGGTCTCCGACATGGAGACACGGGGCTGGAGGTTGAGCTGATGCGCAGCGTACTGAACCGCGAAC